TTTAAAATTTTTTGTTGTGTTGGTACACCCTTTCTTGACATATGGTACAAATTTGAGCGCCACCTGTCAATTAGTTTGTTCACAGCAGCTGTTAATGTGAGACTATCTCAAGTGCATTTAGCGACTTATACTATGGAAAATTCTTGTTGTACGCGATTTTTTGACCAAACACCCAAACACGGCAGGCACCATATTCGCCAGATCTGGATCCGTGCGACTTTTTCCTGTTCCCGAAACTCAAACTGCCTCTTCGTGGTAAGTGTTTTGAGTCGATTAAATCGGTAAAAGAGAACTCGCTGAAGGAACTAAAAGCCATACCTGCACGGGCCTACGAAAAGTGTATGGAAGATTGGGTTAAGCGTTGGCATATGTGTATCGCTTCAGAAGGAGAATATTTTGAAGGAGATAAAATAAATTTGGAATAAAATTTAAATTTGAGTATTTTATTTACAAAATCCGAGTACTTTTTGAGCAGAAGATATTATATTAATCTGCTTAAAAACCTCATCCCTTTATGTTGGAAGCCTAATGGGCATACCTTAATACCATGAAAAACTGTTCAATTGCATTGATATAGCACCGCAGGATATTTCAAAAATTAGCAAATATAAAATCATTTAAGTAAAATCTCTTCATAATTGAAATATTTCCTTTTTTCTGCCTCCATCATTATATTGTTGGGTATATTAAGGCTTTAAAACCTTAAAGCAAACAATGAAAGTTATTTTTCCCTCTCAAATATTTGCAGAATTCAATATTTATCCGAACACACAAAATATCGGAAAATGCATTTCGTTCTTTGGCAATTTTCCCATTGACTCATTGCGCCTAAAGTGCTGAACTGTTAAACGCCATAATTGAATGAATTAAAAACGATTTTGCCTGTAACTGTTGCACAAATAACAAAATGGCCGCATTATTTAAATGAAAATTGTTTGAAAATTAGGAAAACTCCTCTTCATCAACATCGGAAATGTTTACAATGAAATTTTAAATGATAAATGGTTACTGCTTTACGAGTATGAGTATTAAAAGCCGACTATGTGCCATAAAGGAATTTAATTGAAAATTTCACACAACAACCATTAGCCTTACATATAAAAAAATTTTTATGAAGTATTAAACGCAAGTATTAATCTTAAGTAAATATTAATAGTAAATTAATTAACAATCGTTTTTACGTACTTCAATTTGTTTTAAATTCTAAGCATTTGAAAAGCCTCACTATCACGAAAATGTAAAATACTATTTGAATTTCGTCTATTGTTAAGGTTCGTCGTTTCATTGTAGATAGTACCTTGGTTCACATTTTTCAGTTATGTATATTACTCTCATCTTATAGACATAATATCAACTTTCACAGTAGATAGGTACTTCTGATAACCTATTGAATATTTTTCTATTAGTTCTATTCACATATCGCTTTCTTAAGCACTCTATTGAATAATAAACATGACCACGTGGCATATACTGTCAGTATATTGTGAATAATAAACTCGGATGCCAGATCACTTCCTATAGTCACAGTTCCTTATGAATAATAAACTCGGATGACAGATCATTTTACTCTTACAGATCATCATTACTATGACGTTCATAATATTTTGGGTGTCCCAACTTTTATCATTTCTTACGAAATTCTTTCTTTACTAAATCATATGCAGCGTTAAAGTCTATAAATATGCAAAAAATATCATTACACCTCCAACTCAAAAAGTACCCAGATTTTGTAAATAAAACACACAAATTTAAATTTTATTGCAAATTTATTTTATCTTCTTCAAAATATACTCCTTCTGAAGAGATACACATATGCCAACGCTTAACCCAATCTTCCAAACACTTTTCGTAGGCCCGTGCAGGTATGGCTTTTAGTTTCTTCGCCAAATTCTCTTTTCGCGATTCAATCGACTCATAACGCTTACCACGAAGAGGCAATTTGAGTTTCGGGAACAGGAAAAAATCGCACGGATCCAGATCTGGCGAATATGGTGCCTGAGCGATGACAGTGGTGACGTGTTTGGGTGTTTGGTCAAAAAATCGCGTACAACAAGAATTTTCCATAGTAAAAATCGCTAAATGCACTTGAGGTAGTCTCACATTAACAGCTGCTGTGAACAAACTAATTGACAGATGGGGCTCAAATTTGTACCATATGTCAAGAAAGGGTGTACCAACACAACAAAAAATTTTTGAAAAAGGTCTATTACCTAAGGAGTAGTTAACAAACAACAAAATCCGGAAACTTTTTGAGCAGTAGGTATACCCATTTTATTTCAAATCTGTGCGTCATCGTCATCGATCTGCTGAAATCCACTAATTTGACTACATTGTTTATGTTTTATTATGGTTTAGATGGTGTTAAGGAAGCTTGTAGCTATGTAATTAAAACAATCGACTTGACATCGTCCCATTTTTCTGGATCAGACCTATATGTAAACCAAGTTCACGTATATTATATTTGGTGTAAATACATTAGCGGTGTGGCGTTTTTACATGACATTATAAATTCTCTTATAGAAATTCATACGAAATTGTTATTAAATATTATTTTCTTTTCTTTTGGTTATTATATACTTTTCTATTAATATGCCAATAATAAGAGATAGCATAAGAGATTCAAAAGCAACAGGTAGAAAGCCCCCATTACTTTCCACCTGTTGCTTTCTAAGCACAAATTTTAAATTTACACATTTTTTCTATGTTTGTGATGAAAATGTATAACAGAGAAATGTTATCGTTTATGTTATGTTGTTGCAGAGTTAACAGAAAAGCCCTGTCACTGCCAATGTAAACTTAATGTTGAAAGTGTTTTCAATAATTAGTACCCACCAACTAAATATGCATTATTTTTGTAGTATTTAGTTTTTAAAAAATATATTTAATTAAAATTATATATAACATATATACATCTATATATCGTTATATGAAAAAACCATTTAACTGATTTCTATATGTTTTATACCAGCCAACATGAATTACAGACGGACTACACACTATGTTAAATAATTATTGATTTTATCATGTTAAACCACATTTTTTGATTTCTGTGTACTTCTCTGCTCAGTGAGGAAGGGCTGTTTGATAAGTTACTGATAAGTATGAAAAGAATATATTTAAAATTTTTTATTACATTTTTTAATTAGTTACAATCACATTTTATTTTGAGAAACAATAAATTATTACTTACCTCATTCCAAAAAGTTTAGTCCATAGTTCCTTGATACAATGTATACGATTAAATACTATCTTATGTAGATTATTTTTGTTATACTTTAACTTCGTGGAAAGGATACTGTTCCAGAAGAAAACATGAGCATACAGTCATGAAACCGTCAATATCTTTAAAAACGATGCATTCGAGAGAATTAAATATCCTTTCATATGATGGTCTTTTGCTTATTCTGCTGAAACAAGTGTTTTGAAATGAATTTTTTGTGGGAAATGTTCAACCACAAAAAATATTATTCTCAAAACTAATAATAAATATTTTTGCTTTTCTATAACTACGCCTTTTAAATTCTTGAAAGTATCCTATTGTTCTTCCATCTCATATTGTATTTCTATTATGATCGTTTGGAGCAAACAAAATACTGTATTTATCAAAAAGTTTGCACAAACTCTCTAATATCATCTAAATATCTTCCTAAAGTACTGTATATTCCAACAAATTTGCACAAACTCTCCGATATCATCCAAATAGTTAGCGTACCATCTGGACAGGAAAGGATATTGGCACATTACTATGTTTTACCTTAAAATCAGCTACAAATAGTTTCCCATGAATTGTCTTCAACACTCCCTTGCTCATACCAGCTTCATGCCAATCAGAGTCTATTGATGTTAATCTATTTCTACTTCTAGATAGATCAAATGCAGTTTGTTATAAAAATGATTCCTGAACGAAAACTCTCAGTATTAGTTTTCTTTAAGCTGTGTTATTCTTTTTTGTATTATGACTAGAGCAGGAGGATGTTGAAGACATTGTGGGATCCACCTTGTTGTGCAATGTTGTTATTCGGTTTTTTGAGAGCATGTTCTCAGCCCCATTTGCGTTATCAGTGGATAATATTAATCTTTATGGTCCTCAGATACACCATATTCGATGTGGACATTAATTTGAAACAATCTGTATTTTTGACTAATTTGCAGTTGTAGTCTTTAATGGCACACTTCCAAAAAAAAAAACACAGAAATTAATTTTAACTTGCATTACATAAGGAAATTTTTCTAGTAATGTATATACGACTGATGTTTCATAGCCTATGTTTTAGGCTATGATGTTTAAGCCTATGGATCTCAACTCTGTGGTCCAAGGTTTGAGTCAAATAGGCAGATAATCAAACGATATCAAAACACGACACATTTATCGTGACTTGAATATTTCGACTGTTGCTGTAATAATCACTCTTAAGCCTGAAGACCCTTAAAAAGAGCTTGAAGTTCACTGCAACACAGAAGCTTGATCACTCCTTCAAACAGAAGACCTCGTATGACAGTTAACGAGAACAAAAACGTCAGATTTAATTAATTTAATCACATATTAATCACTAGACTAGATATAATATTACAGATAAAGTTTAGTATGGATTATTCAATTTTAAATTTGTTTCTCGAACTTATTTTATAATAATATATTTTATATATTTTATATTCAGGTACAGGTTACTCTTTTTAGTTTATTTTTTTTTTTATTTCATAAATCAAAATTCAACATTTGTTTAATATTTCTATAGTCTATATTTCGACGCTCCTTGAGTTTTAGTACTATTAAACTAAAATCAATATCCATATGTTAGGTTTTTGAATCCGTTGTCTAATGTAATTAAGTCCCCAGAGGATTTTAGGTCCCCGTTGTAAAAGTATTGCTAATTGGCAATAAAAAAACTTAATTTTTTTTGCTTTTACTAGTGCGTAACCTCAAAACGTTGTTGTGAGAAGCATAGGTTTAACTTAATAAACAATATTAATACTATCAAATCTCTAACTATTTCGTACAGATATTAAACATCAGTCACAATTTCATAGAAGATATCGAAGCACGTAGCTTCCATGAGCTAACGAATCTACTGCACATCGACATTTCAGGCAACAACGTAACACGTCTGCCCGCGGATATTTTTAATGGCACGAAATTACTGCAACACATCAATTTGTCACGTAACGCACTGCAGGAAATCGATGCTACACTCTTAGCAACTGTACCATTCCTCAGTACGGTCGATTTGTCAAAGAATCAACTTCATACGGATGCATTCATTAAAAACTTGGCTACTGATTTAAATCGAACCGCATTAGAATTGAATTTAAGTGACAATCGCTTCAGTATGCTGAACCTGTCAGCGTTGACGGACTTTCATCGCGTGGGACTAGCAGGAAATGTTTGGAGTTGCAAATGGCTCATCCAGGAATTGCTAAGAATGCCACCAACTATACACTTCGACCATAGCTATTCAGTGGCAACAACATGGAGTACTGCAATGCTGAACGTGAGCGGCATAGACTGCCACGATGAAATGACACAACGTAATATAATCGTTCTCAATGCAGGCTGTGCACTTGATTGCAGATCAAGCGATTCCGAATGCGGAGTAAGTTTTGGAGAAAGTACATTTTTTGCTTAAATAACATAATGATATTATCTTTAACTCTAATAAAATTTTCCTTTTCTCTCTCTCTAGTTAAACAATAAAGTTATCAAACCCACACCACCAGCGCTGCTCTGGCCACGCGTACGGCTTGATAAATTTGACTCACGTTCAGTGATTATATGGATGCTCATCTCAATAGCTATAGCATTTTCTATATTGCGCGTTGCTCGACGCTACTTGGACCGAAAGGAACGCAAAAAAATGCTATTGAAAAGGAAAGAAATGGTAAAAAGTAATAGAATTATTTTTACATATCTTGAAAGTGTGAACTAATCAAAGCATAAGCTACGGATTTTAATAAAAATTTTTTATACAAACAAGTGATTAGTTATGTAAGTTGAGCCAGTGCACTTAAGCACTCTCACTCTTTGTTAACTCGAGGTATTTTAAAAACGCCTTGACTGGATTATTGTTTATCACTTCATCAGACTAAGCAATAATTGACCTCAGATCTGCCGAGATCTCCCCGAGGAGCCCGTAACCATTCTAAGATTTGTTAACGCGATGTTGGTAAGTTTGTCAGTTTTCGCAAATAATATCAGGGCTCTATCCTTTATGTATTTTTTGATGGGATAAATTTTAAGGTCTCTGAAGATGTCATTTGTCCTAATGTACCTTGGTACTTTGAAAAGTCTGCTCAGAACCTGGCTTTGTGCAATGTTGCATAAAGGCCCTTTCATATTCTTAGCTGATATTTTCAAGAAACTAACTTCGAATTGTCTAACTTCGAATTTATTACTCAACACAAGAAACACAATATTATGCACTGTTATATTCTCATATAAACTATAGTTCCGTCTATATATGGATATCGAACTAGTTAAGTATTACAAAAACCTCTATACAATAACGCAATGACATACCATGAATCTTATAATTAAGAACAAAATCTATCTTTATATATATTCTTCAGTTCTTCCATAGACCTCAATAGTCTTCAATAGTATTAGTTGACAAACAGAAGCTTTTATTAACAAAAAAATTTATTCTACCTATTACATATTTTTGTAAGGCAGTGGCTTTCAGTAAGCAGACTTTAGACTTTAATTTAAAATAAGCTTTGAAATTTACTTAGACTTCAATGAATTGAACACATAATAATGTTTATTAACAAATATATTCCATTCTCAATTTATTTTCCAACGAAATAAAGTACCCAATCGATCAAGATGTCCTGTGCTGTGATTTCTAATCCTATATTCTTTATGAAATCTTATGTTTGAACAAATTCTTTTTGAGATATAGACTTTTATGACTACATCTTTCTTTACGTTAAAGTTTCTTTTTAATCCCAGTATATCCCAGTATTTATTGAAAACGAACGATATAATGTTTTTCATTTCAAGGAACAGAAAATAACCTCCCGAAGTTAAAATCACTTCCGTTTTAAAACAATATGGAAGTGATATGTTGTATATATCGTATATAAATTTGCAGTAATTTGTTTCGAATACGATTAACTGACTTTCTGACCAAACTTTCAATCTACTAGGAGAACTATTGCTAATACTTTTATATCACTAATTTTATACTATTAGAATATTAGAACTTCTGTTTCTCTTCAGTTTAAACTTCAACTTTAGGTCTTACTGTTGCAACAAAAATTATTATTATATTATTTCTAAATATTTATATCTGTCTAATAATAAAATAAATTTTTATAATTATTAAATAAGAGATATTCTATTTATTATAAATATATTCAATTTCCGAGTGTCGATTGTACGAATCGTAGAGTAACATCAGCTTGACTTTCTCCATATTATGTTCCTGGATTAGGTTCTATGCACAACAATATATATATATATATATATATATCTATATTATACCTGTCTGATAAAATACATTTAAATGAGATATTTTATTTATTATAAATATATACAATTTGCAGTTTCGATTGTACGAATCGTAGAATAACATAGGCTTGACTTTCTCCGTATTACGCTCCTCGATTAAGTTATATGCAAAAGAAAGAAATGAAACCACCCAATAAATAATGCCTCTACAGCTGGTCAATGATGTTCTTCTAATATAACACACCAAGTGAATTTGTTAAAAAAAAACTTTCACAGCAAATTAATAAAAAAGCTAGAAAATCGAATGTACAAGTGAAGTCAGCTTTGAATCAATTGGCTAATGACCACTGACACTGAGCATCAAATTTGACAGGGCACGAGTTCAACCCTGGGTGCTTGCAAGAGAATTATTTATATATAATTAAATATAAGAAATATTTTCAAGACCACCGATGATGGATATTTGGCAATACTTGAAACAGTTGTATGGTCAGTCAAAAATTCAATTAATAAAAAAAAAATATAAAATAAACTTTTGTTGTTGTAGTTCACTACTGTTCGAAAAAAGTCTCTTTATGAAATAATTAAATATAAGATGTAATTTCAAGAGCAGTGATGATGAATATTTGGCAATACTCGAAACAGTTGTTTGGTTAACCAAAAGTTAAAATAACATAAAAATAATTTTTGTTACTGTAATTCACTACTTTTTGAAACTTCTGCACCAAATATACTAGTTTCTATTAAATAAAATTATTACTTCCGACATAACTGAAGTTAAAATCAAATTTCATTAAATAATAAAAAATAAAAAAAATATTTAATAATTTCATTAATTTAATTAATTTCTATATGTTTAAGAAATTATATATCAAATTTGTCAATAGCTGTATATATATGCGAAAATACTTGAAATCCTCTCGATATTTTGCATTATTTGTATCTTGCACCTTTACCTTATGACCATTTTTAAAATTATTGTGTTAGGGGACATTTTCATCCTGAATATGGAATCGTCTAATGGTGGAATCGTCAGTATTCAATTCTTGGTTATTGCTTTTAAATGATTTTATATTCCAGATCGATAATCTAGAACATTATTTTGGCTTAAATTCATTAAAGTCTTAAATTTTTCCGTTTCATTATTTAAGTATGTGTGTCATTTTTTAGGATGTGTATATAGTAAATATATATAGTATATATTATAGTATATGATATAACATATAGTATAGCATATAGTAGTACTATATGTAAAATTTATTGTATATATAGTATATATATGTATAGTATTTATATAGTATATAATATATATACCATATAGTTTAATGCTATGAGTACTTGTAGTTATTCAGTTAACAAATCGGGAGTACATCTGAGAGTACATAAGTAACATATATTTTAAAGCAATCTGTTTCAAATTTGTTATATTCAATTAGGGTAACTTATTACGAATAGAAGATTATTTGTACAACATTAAATACTCTATACTAGGTCCAGATCATTGCAAATGTCATATATATAATAAATGTATGTATAAATCGAATTTAAGAAACTCGTAAGCTTCAAGAAGTCAAACCTTGAACTCAACAAATTTTTATATTCTACTTAATTTTCTATTTATTATTTATTTATACAATTCAATCAATTAATTTTATTCATAGTTAAATATTTTTGTTATTTTCTATAGCCTCAATTACGTCCTGAAGCCTTAGCGCTAGGGGAGTCTGTGCGAACTTTTCAACCTGATCTAGAATTAGAGACATACGATAAGGAACAACGGAATATGCGGCAAATTTAAAATGTATCTCAGTTTTTTAAATTTAATGTTAATTTTGTATTCACAATTTATTACTTTTAGTATAAAAAGCATTTTTTTCTATTACAGTAAACATGTGTTGAGTTTATTTATTAAAATTAAATTATAGTATTAAAATTTAAACAAGAAATAGTATCTTTTACTTATACATTCCTTCGATGATATTGGCGTACTTTTGTAAAACGATATTGCGTCTCATCTTGAGAGTAGGACCTGTAACAAAATTTTTATCATCATTTAATAATAAATAATAAATAATTATAAAATTAATTCATATATTATTGTATTAGTTATATGTAAAATTAATAACTTTACCTAATTCGCCGGTTGGTGTAGAGAAATCATGTGGCAGTATGGAAAATTTTTGCACCTTCTGTGCATTCGATATAGAATGTTTATTGGCGCGTTGTATACCCTCTTCAATTGCTTTCATAACGATTGGATGTGGTTTCACTTCCACATTTGATGCATCTAAATCGCTTATATCAGTAGGTATTTCTAATACTTCAGACAATCTTGTCAATTCAAGATTAAAAGATTTTAGCCAATCAATGGCTTCTTTGGTTAATATATCTGTTGGTCTACCTGTGTTATTATCAAATTCTGTCTAAAATATAAATTTATATAATGAGTTAAGGACCATACGAGCTTATATAAATATTCAAAAGTTACCTTTAAAGTTAGTAGAACAGTTAAATATTTCTTATGATCACCAACAACCATAGCATTACTGATAATGTGTAATTCTCGCTTGATTAATTCTTCAATATGTATAGGTGGTATGTTTTCACCGCCTGCTGTTATGATTAACTCCTTTATGCGTCCAGAAATAATTAAATTACCTTGAGTATCTATGTAACCAATGTCACCAGTATGCAACCAACCGTCTTCCTTGAGTACATCTTTTGTATTCTGAACATCATTTAGGTATCCCATGAAGTTAGTGCGCCCTCTTAAGCAAACCTAAGTTTAAAGAGCTCATAATTAAATCATATATAGTATTTTTAGAAAACTGTTGATTACAAAAACTATTTTGTAAATAAATATAGTAATAATAATTAATAATTTATATTTTGCTTTTAACAAAAATATGCCGTTTAGAAATTAAGCTAGCGCTATTGAAAAGTTTAATTCCAATAAAACTGAACAACTTAATAATACTAACGCTTTAGAACACAACAAGTCAAGTACTCGTTCAAGGTGGATTAACCGAGTAAAATAAGGAGATGCACTCTCTTCTCTAATATTCAGTCGACTGCTTAATAGTGTTCTATCAGAAATGGACGTTGATAAAAGTCTGTTTAACAATGACCTTCAATTTTTACTATATTAGTCGAAAGCCCCAACACTTTAAGATCATCGTTCAGAAAACTTAAAAGCTTTACTCAAAAAATCGGACTAAAAATTAATCATTAAAAAATAAAATATATACTGAGATCAAAATCCAGAGTCTGTAGTAATCGGTTTAATATTGATACTATTAACTTTGAAGCTATCACAGAATTCAAATACCTTGGAATAGTACTGAATTCTAAAGAAAATATATCAGTTGCGATACAAGTTACAATTTAGACAGCAAATGAGACATAAAACTTACATATAAAATTTTTTTTAATCTAATATAACAAATACTTAGTATGTATAAAATCCTAATTAGATCAGTTCTAACGTAGGGCTGCGAATTATGCACACACGCAGACGGAAACATGCCAACTACTATCTCACGAACGGAAAGTACTTTTTTATTTGATAATAAAATAGTTTTTATTTGATACAACCACGAATTAGAGGACTCAATCGATAAGCAGAATATAACACAATACATAAAATCATAACGACTAAGATGGCTAGGACACGTCAAGCAGCGTATAAACCGAGAACTATCAGCAAAACAGCATTTGTAAGAAACCTAATTGGATCTTGAAGAAAAGGCAGACCTAGACAGAGTTGCTTAGATGAAGAAGAATTAACAGAGTTGCTGAAGAAGATTTAATGAGGCTACGCATGAGCGTTTGGAAAACTTGGTGTCGAATTGAGTCAGATGGCAAAAATTGGTTGAGTCCAAAAATTGATATGTCATCGTCAATGATACTGGAAGCAAAACTATTACAATGTATGTTTCCAATAATGGAAACATGTGGAGAACATGTGGAAACGAAATTAAAACATGATGTGTGAATTTATTTATAATATCTTATGGATATATTAACAACTGTTCCAGCTAAGAAAGGATGCAACAAATGCAATCCAATAATTCTAAAATATAGTCTAAAATTTTCGGCAAATTTCTTGTCCATAACTTTTTTTGTATACTTATGAAGACTATTTCACATATTTAATACTATGATATTATATATCTAATTAATATATTTAATATATATGTGACTTAAAATGAATTTGTTTTCTTTCAAATTGAAATACATTCCTTATAGACAAACATCCTATAAATTAAGTTTAAGTATTTAAATTTACTCAAAATTCTGCACGTATCTGTACTTTTATCAAATTTTTTAGCTCGCCCGCCATACCCATAATTTTCAATATTATGATGACAGATGATTTTTTTTTCAATCATAAATGCTACGAAATAATCTATAAAACGTATATATTGGCTTCCATTATTTAAATTGTGTCGATTTTCTTCAAGTTTAAAATAATATCTATCAAATTTTCTGCATTCATCTAAACTAATATAAACAAAGTATTACATACCTCACCGTGCCCATTGTTATCAGGATTACAAATTTTCATTTCCACACAATCGATTGCTTTACCAACACTCTTTAGGTTAGTTTGATCAAATGAGAATGCTATTGCTCCACTTGTTTCGGACAAGCCATACACATCAATCAATACCATATCCAAGCTGAGAAAATACTTTTTAAGCTCCTCGCGTACCGGTGCACCACCAATTATCAAACTTTTGCAATTATCCAAACCTAATGCACTCTTAATGTGGCCAGTTATTTTCGATGAATACCAGTATTTAAAATGCGAAGGTGTCTTTCTGCTCAATTTATAACTTATTAAAAAAGAACCCAAAATATTATTAATCAACTTACCTCTCGTATATACACATATGATATTGCTCCACATTTTGTCTGGCAAAGCGTACAATGTATTTTGTGATGGCTGACAAGTTTACCTCTATACTAACAAGCTTTTCTTGCATTTTTTCAAAAATTCGCGGTACACCAAAAAATCGTGTCGGTTTGGCTTTAGCTAATGTTCTTCCTAATGTGCCCTTCAATGCACCACGATCCGCAAAATAAACACAGCCATTATTATACAAAGGAAGATATATATCAAATATCTGAGCTGCAATATGATTTAATGGTAAGTAAGTCACTACGGTTTCAGCGCCCTCCTTAATATCGGGTAGAATTTTCGTGATGGCCTTTGTGTCGTAAACGATTGCATCATGCGAAACCATAACCGCTTTCGGCATACCAACAGTGCCTGACTAAAAGGAAAATATGATTTATACACATTTACTATGCCCAGAACTAATATTGTTACACGACTAGGCGTATTTAAGTTTTTCGTACGTTAAAACTCGTACGTACTTTATAACGCATTATTAGCGACTAACAACAACTAACACTTACTGTGTAAATCAATAGGGCACACTCATTTGCGCCCACATCACGCTCCCTGCGCTCCAATTCCTCTTTCAGTTCTGCACCGAACTGCATAAGCAACAAATCCTCCCAACGGTAATAACCCTCGTCAACACCAACGAAGTCCTCGTACGGACCATGCAACTGCAAGACCGCACGTAAACGCGGCAGACGAGATTTTATTGCACGCACCTTTGCCATTTGTTGTGTGTCGTCCACAACACAAACAGTTGCTTCCGATGTGTCGAGTACATGATAAACTGCTTCCGCCGAATTGCTAGGATAAATGCCAGCCACAACACCACCAGCACGTAAAGTGCCAAACTCTGTATAAAACCACTCAGGACAGTTAAAAGCAAGTATGCCGACAGAGGAGCGGGGTTGCAGACCCACGTGCAATAGTATCAACGCTGCCTGCTCTACTTGCTTCGCATACTCAGCATAAGTAACCGTGCGCCAAACGCCTTCCGTGGTTTGTGGGTGTGGGTGTGCATTTGCAGTTGCATTTAGATCCGGATCCAACTCGTACACCAGTGCAGGATATGTTGCATACTTTTGACAGCCTTCGCGAAAAAATTGTGGAATTGTCTGTGGCTTGATTGCCGAAAGGCCCTGCTTGCCTAACCGTAGCTTAATGGCTTCATGCAGGGAGTTGCTTGTGTAACTCGTGGCGGCCTTAATTGAGCTCAATGATGACATATCAATGGTGTCTCCCATTATTGCTAATGTTGTTGCACTTTAATTGCGGTAAAACCAGAAGTTCGGGCAAAGGTTCTGTTAATGTCTTCGCTTACTTGTACTATAAATCTTATGAACTCGTTTGCAGCTTGTAGATTTAAAGGACCTTTAATATAAGAAATATTGTGATTAAATAAAAATAAATCTCATATGTATATACTATGTAATATATTCAATATTTTTATAACCATATACTAACTTATATATATGGATTATAACTTATATGGACTATATTATATGTATGTATGTGACAAAAAATGCTGTTTATAACACAAATGCCATTAGAACAGATCATTTCAACGTAATCCCATGTAATGAAAATTAGTTTTATTATTTATAAACATACTTAAATATTTTTATTCTCCGATACAACCTAACCTAATAGTATACATTACTTACAGGCGTTATCGGAGACCTATAATTGCAGAGTATATATAAAAAATACAATTATTAGTTAATTGTTTTATTAAAATCAAGAGAATTATAAAGTATATATTTTAAATAAAAAAAATATATTAAAATTTAAATATTTGTTCCACCGTAAACTAACTGTCGACTACAAGAACGTTTGTAAGCCTGGCCTACCTGCAAGTCCAACAAATTATAGGTATACGAACTATAAACTAATTAAATAAAAAAATTCGAATATTTTCTAAGATCACTGATGATGAGTACTTTTTGCCAATACTCGAAACAGCGTTTAATCAAATTTTTGTTGCTGTTTCTTCATTACTGTTCGAACCCTTCTAGTGTGTACTTTGCATTAACATTTTACAACGAAAAAGATATTTTCTACGAAAGCTAATATTAATCTCTAAATATGAAAGTATACATATAAAGCATAAGTATGATATTGTCTTCAAAATGTGTACATATATATTCAAACATATGCTATATTTTTCCAGATATAAAAAGGAATACAAAACCTATATATAAGCTATTATATATGTAGTAGCTAAATTTACAGCTACTGGGCAATATAACTGAATTATATGTTAATTGTGTAGACGATTGTTTGTGAAAGTATTATAAATTCGATTTTAATGACCTAAGAGATTAATCCATAAGAATGACTGAAATATTAAACATATAAAATGTTTTATAAAACATAAAAGGGAGTGTTTTTAATTTGTAAAAAATTATATTTTTTAGTATTTATATTTATATTTATATGTATCTCTTTGTTAAGTAAAACTGATTATTTCACTTGTTTATGAGTTGCTCATACAGATAATAAAATAATACATCAATTTACCAATAAACCTATAAAAATAGAACATAGGTATACCTAAGTAGGTATATTCATTTGATCATTATAACATCTAACAACACTATAGTTCTGAGTCATTTATATCTATAGAATCGTTATTTAATCGTGGTAAAACAAGTCAACGCTTCGCAAGTTTATTGAAGTCACGATATTTTTTTTATTTATTCTGTAAAACCTTAGCTTTTCAACTTTAACCGGTTATTGCCAGAGATACAGATGTCTAGATGAAAAATGAATTGCAGATTTGAGATTGATCAAAAAAGAGAATTTAATGTCGTACATTGTAATCGATCCACCTAACTTTTTCTTAGTTTGTTTACCTATATTTCAAAGTCTTTAGGTCTGTCTGCCTGCCAGTTTATTTGTCTATTTCTATGTAAGTCTGTCTATCTGTTTATTTATTTGTCTATCTATTAGCATTTTTATGCTACTGCTTGTCTATTTGTGGAAGAATCTCTGTTTTTTTTTTTAAGAAAAACGAAACAATAGTAATATAGATTTTCGATAAAACTATCTGTATCTATCTAAGTACTTGCCTTATCGATCTGTCTATCTAATTGTCCGTCTGTCCGTCTATTTGTTTGTTTTTTTGTTTATCTCTTAGTATATAGGTATGTTTATTTGACTGTGTTTTAGCGTCTTCATATGTATCTCTATTTGTCTATCTCTATTTATATTTCTGTTTGTTTAATTATCTGTCTGTTTATCAATCTGTGCAGATATCTGTCAATTTTTTAGATTGATTTTCAATCTGATTGTCACTTTTCAATAATTTTATTTTTTAGAGGGTTTTCGAATAGCAAAGAAAGAAAGAAAGAACGATTACAAAAATTTATTTAATTTTATTGAAATTAGTCGTTGTATGGTCCAACGCTATTTCGAGTATTGCCCAGTACTCATCATCAATGGTCTTAGGAAATAATCGAAATTTTTAATTAGTTTACAGTCAGTATATACCTTCTGCTCAAATCCGGATTTTGTTGTTTGTAACTTACTTCCTAAGTAATTGACGTTTTTCAAAAATTTTTTGTTATGTTGGTACACCCTTTCTGACATATGGTAGAAATTTGAGCGCCATCTGTCAATTAGTTTGCTTACAGTAGCTGTTAATGTGAGACTACCTCAAGTGCATTTAACGATTTTTACTATGGAAAATTCTTGTTGTACGCGATTTTTTGACCAAACACCCAAACACGTCACCACTGTCATCGCTCAGGCACCATATTCGCCAGATCTGGTGCCGTACGCATTTTTCCTGTTTCCGAAATTCAAATTGTCCCTTCGTGGTAAGCGTTTTAAGTCGTTTGAATCGGTAAAAGAGAATTCGCTGAAGGAACTTAAAACCATACCTTCAGGGGCCTACGAAAAGTGTATGGAAGATTGGGTTAAGCGTTGGCATATGTGTATCGCTTCAGAAGGAGCATATTTTAAAGGAGATAAAATAAATTTGGAATAAAATTTAAATTTGTGTTTTATTTACAAAATCCGAGTACTTTTTGAGCAGAAGGTATAAATTTTTTTTTTTTGTAATAGGTTTTTTAACACAATTTCTCAAAACTATGTATAATAAATAAAATATAATAATATTAATTCTACTGCTTTAAATGTATATCATGAAATGTTTGTATATATATGTAAATATATATATATATATATATATATATATATATATATATATATATAATTATATATATATATATATGTATGTAGAGCATAGTAACAAATATGCACTTTTTTATTTATTTACTTTTTAATTGAGTAGATTGCCGTAAGCTTGAAGTATTTTCATATATTCATCGTGTCGATGTACGAACCTATTAGCCCACTTACATTAAAAAGTCTTATTACAAAATAAGATCGAAATAGGTTATCACTTTCAGTTATTGTATATTTGAATTAAAATAAAATGAAAAATAATTGAAAGTATGACAAACCTATCTGTTATTGTACTATGACAGTACTAGAGTCGCTTAAGAGATCAACTACGTCAAATCAAATAAAAATAGAAATTAAACGTTAAGTAACAACTAATCAAAATTAAACTTTGTACTACAAGTAAATAGATTATTTAAATAGCTTATTATAGATTATTAATAAACTAATAAAATTGATTTTATTCTGTTAAAATAAAATTATTAAAAATTGTACTACAATTACAGAATTCTACACTTCATCTAAAAGGAAATTTTAAGTCGAAGCATTATATTTCACTGTAGTTATTCTAATTCACTGAAACACCTTAATTGTTTGTAATTAATAATAAAATATACAAACAAATATCATACAAACGATTTAAAAGCTTAAGCTATAACTAAAAACTAAAAAAAAAATTAACTATTCAAGATATACTTTAGATATTCGACATATTGTCACTCTAACGAACACCTCAGTTAGAAACTTTAAAAGACAATAGAAAATAGAAAATAGAAAATGGAAAATATAAAAGAAAAGATGCCACCTATAAAATTTTCTAAATTAATTTTTTTTGATTAAAAAACAAGACCATCTCATCCTCAATTAGTGCAACTCCATAGTTTCGTTTTCATTATTCCTTGTGAATATTAAAAGCTATTTGCTTTCAGGTTTCGAATTAAAGTGAAAGCAGGTTGTGTCATCCGGAACAGAGCTATTAAACAATAGCTTAGTTAAAGACTACAACGATAGGTTGGGATTCAATTTCAGCTATCCTTATTCAAGGTATGCAGAAATTGAGAGATAACAAATTCAGTCTTGCAACAATAGATTGTTCTGCAGTTTAACGCATTTAAAAACTATAAATTTCTTTTTTAAAATTTATTCAGCTTTTGTGGAAGAAAAGACAATCTCTTCAAATAGAAGATTTCTGACAGATATTATGACTTAACCTTCATAATGACGATGCAAACGAAAATGAATACATAAGGAAAGCAAGTGAGGTTTGGTACAGATGTTTTATTTTCAAACACATTTCTTTACTTTATCTATACAAAAATTTCACTACACAAAAAACAATAGTTTTAATGAAACTTAAAATTTGATTTCATTAATTAAATAACAAAGCCTAAAATACTGTCATTAAGCACAAAATCTAGCTTTAGGAAGACTAATAAAGATTCCTTGGTATATTGCAACAACAGACACGCATACAGATCTAAGAATCGACTCAGTGAAAAAATATATCAAGAACAGAGCCCTTAAATTATTCACAAAAGTTGATACGTTGTCCAACCTCGCAATAACAAACCTTAAATCCACCTCAGGACGCACAGAAAGATATGATGATCTATGGTCCGTCATCAATTAGAAAATAAATAAATGATAATAATTCTAGTATAGTTAAAGTTTAGTGTGGGGACGGTAAGAATACATTTTTAGTATTTAGCAAGATAGAAGATATTTTATCTCTAGATATTTTCTAATTGATATTAAGTCATCAAAACAAAAAAAGCATTCTTTACTAAGTAATATAAAGATAAGGTGTTGATATATAAAAAATAAAAAAAATGTTATGGAAATCTTGTACAAAAAATACTTTATATAATTATAGTAGATAGCAGATAATTATCTACAGATTTCAGATAAAAAACGTGTTACACACCAAATCAAAGTATATTTCAAAAAATATATACCGTACTTTGTTGCGGTATATTACATTTGTACATTATCTCGGGAAAACTAGCTAGAATGAGATAAATAACAAAGGTAAAATGTTTTCCTATCAAAACTTATGTTTTTCGACCAATATCTTATACAACCCACCTTCCTACCAAACTTTATCAATTGCTCACGCAACATTCAGAACAACAATAGTGCAATATTGTTTTTCTTCAAATGTGTTTCTAGTATGTGAGATGATTCTATGGCCCATCTGCGCTACCCTACTTTTCTATAACTCCACATTAATGTTGAGACGTGATAATTCATATTGAATATTAGTTGCTCAAATATTTTTCAATCCACGGTACTGATAATTTGATATTATATATAAAACTCAACTGTTATCGGAGCGTCTCCTTTCAGATATATTTACACTATCTCCAACCCAAATTGACGTTAACTTACTTATGCTATTGATAATATTCAGATATGGCTCTCACGTAAAAGCTTAATATACGCGAAAATGAAGTCACTTAAACATTTGAACGGATAAAGTCACTAATTTTATATATTTAGACAGAACAAAATCCAAAAAATTACTGTTGACCATAAAAACTTTATGTTAATCAAAAAGGTACTTACTTATATTTATATTGAAATCTATTGATTTGCTTTATATGTGGAATTATTGACCAATTATTTCTGTCGTCAACTCTGCCGTTTTAGAAACTCCCAAGACGAAATTGAAATATTCAAAGACTGCGCCCGATAAATGCTTTCTGAACTAACTAATTTTGAATTTTTTCTGTATATTTCTGACAATTTCTTAAAAACATAATTGATAATGTGTCAAAATAATTGACATATAAATCCATGCACAAAGTATGCACATTTTTTTTTTTTTTTGTGAATGAAAGAAAAAAATAAATTATATATTAAAAATTTTTTTAAAAAAGATATTAACCCATCTACTACATTACATGAGTAGTTCACAAAGTTGTGGAAATATCCGACTGCCTTCGCTAATCTTTGTTTATTACTTCAGCCGCAAAACGCTAATTTTAGAGATAATCTTTTAATTAAAATCACATTTTTCTATATCTATATTAACAGAAACTGGGACCGCTTTTTTAAATAATCAACGTTTTGAGTATTTTAAGACATTAAACGTTAACAACCAGTTATGAAAAAAATCCACCTACGGCGAAGGGGTTAGAGTATTCCCGAGGTGAGTCATGCTTATCGTAGAACGCAGCTAAAATCCCGCTGCTATACCGACACTTGACAGGAAGTGTACATGGTTATCCCAGTTATCCAAGCTTGCGACATTCGACTAGAGGTGTGAATCTGGTACTACGGGTACTACAGTGACCCGTAGCTGAGCTGAGGTGTTGAGGTTAAACTCGTAGTCGCTATGGTTAATACCTAAACTTACGTGGGTAGAATAATCAGGTATTTGTTTATAATTCATTCAGCGTGGAGTTGCGTATTTATCATCGTTTGCTGTGACCCAAAGATCAGCAGAGGTTGTGTTGTGTGGGCCTCGCATCAAACCAAGATGGAAGTTATGTCCTCCAGACATTGCTTCATTGACATCGGCGGAAATTCTTTGAACGTTGATGGACGCGTTGTATTAATATGCATGTTTTTGAACACCGTAATGTTAAGTCAACATTGAGACTACTACTAGTTGCTATACTATATTCTTATACTTATACTAAATATTTAATATACCATATTCTTACTGAATATTTTATTTATAAATAAAATAAATAAAATATTTATAAATATGTTACAAACCTATAAAAATTAAATCAGTCGGATTGAATATAGCACTAATAGTAATTTTATAACCTATAAATATTTATAATATAAGTAATTGGTAATGGTAATTATATACTGGAAATATGTGATTTGTTAAGTTTATGTCTTTAAGCAATCGTACGGGTATAGGACAAGATGCTATAGGGTTTTAAGTACTAGCTCGCAGCGAAGAAAAAATAAATTATAGAAATATATAGAAATTTCTACGGTTTTAGGCTCTGAATGAAGCGATGAACTGTCTTCATATGCTAATATATCTTTTGTTTTGAAAATTATTATTAATTCTTTTTATTTTCAATTATGTATTTTAATAAAAATAGTACTCATTATAGCTAGATAACACAATCAATCTATACAGATACTATACATCTTATTTGAAAAAGTTTATAGAAAATAATTTTAGTATTTTACAATATACGAAATCATATTTTTATTTCTTATATGTTCACTAATTTTTTACATCTATTTTTAATTATATATACCTTTCTTGACATATGTAGTTTACAGACTTTTCATTTTTTCTAATATTATTATGATGAATTTGAAATTTTATAAAAATAAGGTTTTATATTAAGATTTATTCACTTTATATTTATACATCAAATTTTCTTAGGTAAGTTTCGCTGAACTCAATATATAATATAGAGCTTATATGTTGTATTATAATCAATTTGAAATTAATTTAAATATTTTCCAATGAACACACTGATTTAATATTAATATGAATTTAATTATTAAAGATATATATTTGTGTAACAAAGTAAATATATCATATATCAGACTTTCACGTTATGTCGATAATTTTTGTCTCAATTTAATATATATATATAATATAAAAACTCATATTAAATTTATTAAATAAAACACTTACCCTAATATCTTTTATATGTAAAATTGCTTAATAATTGAATTATTATATTTTTATTTAAGTACTCGTTAGTATTTATAAAATAATACGGAGTGTGCTGAATTAAAAGATTTATTTCGAACAGAACACTTTGACGAACTCTTTACGAATAATCACTCAGCCTTTACAACAAATTAAAATCATTTAACTTCTAACATCTTTACACTGAACTGATGATAGTATATATAATCTATTGTATTAATACGCGAGACGGCCCTTATCAATAACACATTTTTAGGTGAATGCACCAACTACATGTATCAGCAGCATATTACCCAAGTTCATTGATAAGCGAACTGAATTTACGAGTATTGAGGGATTATCGCAAAAAGAAATGCTGAACGAGAAGAGAAAATCACTTCATACAGCTTTTAGACTGCAGAGATTTTTCATTATTAAATGCATCGTTACAATGAGATAAAACTTTAAGTACACAACACTTACAAAAACGCATACACAACAAAAGATATACTAAAGCAATATCTCTTCTTTAATTCCACTTCAACTTCATATACTAAACTGACTTCGCCTCCTCGTAAGAGAGCAGATGACTTGCAACTCATAGGAACATTCTATCTGTTTAACGTCGAATTTATTATTAGTAAACAATTTTTATGAATCTGTAAAAGGAGAATTCAGTTCAGCGGGTCGGAGGAAAATTACAATAACCCAATATGTTGAACCTATGGTATGTTGAAAAAAATTTTAAGTGATAAGAACAATTATTCTGTACAAAATCAACACAAAACACAAAGTATTTATTGAATCCCTCTTAAAATATTATTATAAGAAATATTTAAAAATTTTTGAATTCGATAATTCAATTGGATTGAATATGGACTGCTAATTAGATATCTGAGAAAAAACAAAAGGTCGACAATATAAATTACTTAGTCATCCCATTATGACTTGGTAACTTGCAATGATGATGATACTTACACAAATTCTAAAACAGAATTAGAGATAATGAAAACCAAGTCAACACAATTACCGTATAACATAGTGTCTTCAGTTTTCACAGGTGTTAGCACGATTTATATAGTGTACTCATATTTTTTGAAATATTGTAAGTAGCAGATTGAGTTGAAACCGATTGACAGAAAAAAGAACTGAAGTTGAGAGACGAAGCGGGTTTCTCGCGAACAAAAACCTTATTCTAACAAAGATGAAAAGTGCAAAAAAAAATATTATCTATAAAATACAGATTTATTATTAAAGAGTAGACGTGAAACTTGCCCAACAGCCGGTATTGCGGCCAGAAGAGTCCTATTATACCAGTCTCACTATTGATTAAACAAAGCCCCTTAAAGCTTTGGCAATAAAGTCTAGAACTAAATATAGAGAAGAGTTCTTAAACTGCTCTGGTGACAGAAATTCTTTATGAAACAGGTGACAGAAATTCTTTATGAAACAGGTTTCTTCTGTGCGTTATTAATAATATAAAATACAGATATTGACAAACAGAATAGCAAAACCTAAACGTCTGTGTCTGTCCGACAAGAAAAATAAATACACTGAACTTGTGATGAGTTCCACAAATATAATATGGTGGCTGTATTTGTAAATGGACGAAAATTTCACAGGTTCACATTTATACTGCAAGTGACTAGTTAAACGTTTAATGTATATATATCGTTTGAGAAGCCCATAACTCTCGCTAAAGGTGATCTATGCAACAAGCAAACAGAATTTAAAAAATTTTATAATTTTTCAGCATTTTCTTTTTCATTGCTTATAAGTAATTTAATTTTAAATAAAAAAAAATTATGGAGTTCTGAAAAGCTGTTGTTTTTAATGGCTTTTCAACTACTCAGAAATCATTGTGATTCTTCCTATTATTTGTTTTATTCGTAACGATTCATTAAAATAATATTTACAATTAATAATATTTAATTTCTTTTTAATTTATTTATTTCTATTTAAGACACTGCACTTGAGCACTTTTACTCTTTCTTAACACGAGCTATTTTTAAAACTCCTCTTTACGCCTTGACTAGATTATTGCTTATCACTTCATCAGACTAAGCAATAATTGACCTCAGATCTGCATACCTCCCCGAGGAGCCTGTAACCATTCTGAGATTTGTTAACAAAACCAATTTTAAAATTCAGAAATATTTTTGTTAACAAACATTTCCCATAGCTATTAATTGATTTAAAATACCAACCGACTAGTCATTTAATTTATGAAAACAGATCCATTGTTTCCATAATACTATGAAATACATAAAAGTTCTATTTATATATGTTTATAAGATTATATTTATATAAATTTCGTATAATACTACACGAAAAAATATTTTAACAGTATTTATATATTAACAAATTTTTGAAAATTATTATATGAATATGCGTACAATAAAACATATATAATAATAATAACATTATACAATGCTATACAATATATATATACATAGGTATATATATATATGTAGGAATGTTTAGTCGTCACTACATATTTATTTATCTAAAGGTATATACGGTTTTAATGTCATCACAATATTTAAATAATATTAACTGTAATATAGTTGTTGTTGTCTTTATCATACCGTGTAATAAGAGAGCAAATCTCTTAAAGAGTAAATATATTAAAGTTATAAACAAAATGTTACCATTTTTCAAGTTTTCAAGTAAGACAATATATAGTCTAAGAAGTATCATTCTGCAATCAAACAACATTTATTTCTATTTTCTCCATTTATATATGTATATATATATATGTAAATATAAATTGATATGAATTTTAATGAAAATACAAAATGTGTAGAAACAATTGTTTTTGTCTCATCCCAAAATATAATCTGCGAAAAAGGAACTAGTAAAAACCCATCCTCAGGTACCTCGTGTATATCTTTCATATAAATGCTTCCATAAAATTATCATTTCCGTTTCATCCAAAATAATTTTTAAGTTAATATATACAAATGTTAATGTACTCATGTACGTACTCATGTACACAAAGCATATGTTTTATGACAATTGTAATAATTTCCGGATTTCGTTGATTTGTTGAGAAATGCAGTTAAGTCCTGCTTTTATTTTGCTGTCATATAGTTAGACTGACATTTTTATATTAGTTTC